AAATCAGGCCTAGCCAAACATAGACAAGATTCTTCCTGCCTCCAGGTTTGAGACAGGCAAGGTTTGGCAGTCTTAGTCTTTGTGTTGGTTTAAGCCAATGACCAGTAGGGTTACTGAGTGCCAGTTGGCAAAGGCTATAAGGAGGGGAGAGAAAAAGAGAAAGAGAAGAAATGTACGAGAAAGGGAGTGCCATAAAGCAATTAAAAAGAAAAAATGTTCCAGTGATAGAAAGTTTCCCATCAACTGAATGTACTTTTTTAAAACTTAGGTCAATATTGGTGGTTTGTATTCTTTAGCACTCTAGAGACCTAAAATTCTCAGCTTCTATCCCAAATCTGAGCATTTGGATAGGAACAGAGCCATAAGATCAACAGGAGAGTTTTCAACCTAAAGAAAGTTTTGAAAGCCATTTCAGGATATTAAGCTATTGCATTTGTAGACCATAGAGGTATAAGTGAGATGATCTGTTAGGAACAATCTTATAAAGGCATCAAAAATTATATTAAGCTATAATTGCTCATAGAGAGAAATTCCTAAGTTCCTATTCTCCATTTTCACTATAGTTGCTATTACTGATATATTAGAAAAGATTCTTGAGGGTGGAGATATAGTTCAGTGATAAAGTGCAGCTTAGCATGCACCAGATCCTTGGTTTATCCTCAGTACCACAGGGGGAAACAAAGAAAGAGAAGAAAGAAAAACTTCTTTGCTTGTATTTTTCTCAATTTCTTTTTGTAATATTTGTTACTCTGTTTTTGAGCATTGTAGGGGATCAGCTAACTTTACCTAATAGTACCTATGACTTAAGCACATCAGCTTAGCCAGTCAGTGGGTTTAACTATCATGGCTGTTACCCCAGAATCATTGTGGAAGCCTTTAAGGATACTGCAAATGAAAATAGGCATGTTTTCAATCACAGTAGGAACTTTCCCAGAGTGCACTTTTTCATCTCACTTGGGAATGTGTTTTTATTCTGATGTTTTTGAATATGTATATTTCTCAAATTCTGGGAATTCAAATAGACTTTAAATAAAATAATGCTGCCATTCTGGGAAGATTCTAGTTCTGAAAAAACTGGAAAGCAGGCTAACTTGTCATTCTTAAAGATGAGTTGAATATGCAGGGGGAGGGAGCAATGTCACAAAGAAACTGAAAGGCAGATTTGTCATGGATTTGGATAATCAACGTTTGCCTGTTTGGAATGAGACAGTTAAGACCTTGTTTTTTCTCAGATTATGCTCCTCCATTAGTGCTCAAGATGAAACCAAATATCTACTTGACTAGTACTTTAACTATATTATAGTTCTTTTTTTAAGTACCCATTATCTTTGCAAGCATTAGGTGTATCAGATTAAATTTTTATTGCATCTTGTGTTTTTGTTTATGATTTTTTTGTCTGAATATAGGAGAGAAAAAAATAAAGGATTATACTCCCCACTTCAGCCTGGGAATGATAAGGACCACTCAGTTGTAGAGAGTGAAACTGTTAATATTTTAATTTTTAATTTCCCCTTTGCTGCAATTTTCCCTTCCTTCCCTATCCATGCTAATTTCACACAATGAAACTGGTCTGAGGTGGTGATAAGAGGGAGGCAAGGAAAGAGACAGAACAGGCTGATGATTTATTTTGTCCTAGGATCCCTTTTAAAGGGAGGCAGATAGTAAGAGTGCTTCTCCGTCAATGGCTGAAGGGTCTTCCAAGCTGTAGCTCCTGAGGAGAAAACAATACAAGCCTTCAGGAGCAAAGGGACTGTGTAGTTTGGGTAAAATGAACACAATTGGTAACTCCAAATTGTTTACAAATTTTTTCTATACATTGGCCTATTAATAAGACCTTTCAAAGAAACTTTCTATACACTCTTAACATACACAATCCCAATTCTATTACTTATACAAAGCCACCAGATTGAGATTCATTAAAACACACAGACATTTATACACACACACATACTTACACACACAGTGTATTTTGTGCAGGATAGGATCCTCTGGCTCCCTAAAGAAGAAGTACTAATAACAGCCATTCTACTGTCACATTAATAAAAAGCAAGAACTAGAAGGATTTTGAACATCTTGTCCAAAGTTTTTCTTTTATAGAGAAGGAAAAAAAAAAGTTAGGGTTGGGGATACAGCTCAGTGGTGCCGTGTATGCCTGGGCAGTGCAAGGTCCTGAGTTTGATTCCCTGTACTGGAAAAAAACCCAAAAAACAAAACACAGAGAGAAGAAAAAGTTGACTCAGATATTCACTGATTTCCCTCATACTGCATATCTAGTACCTAGCAAATTAAAATTTAAAATCCATGCCTAAGTGCATGTGCATTTCTCACCACATCTAAGGAAGAAATATCCTGAGAGGCACTCTGAAACTCATTAAAAAATTAACCTAGTGGAAGCTGAAGTTGAGGATGTCTTAATTGGTTATTAAATATATTAAACCAAGCTCTGGGGAGGATCCTCAGGGCATGTTCATATTAAACTATTTAAAGCCATATAAAAGCCCCACTTTAATTACTAAGTGTGTGTGCCAGCCTGGAAAAATGGGTTTTGGCATAACCCAACTGTCAGTGAACACAGGGAAATGTGTAAAAGCTCCAAGCATAAGGTGTGCCTACCTGGTACCATTCCTGTTACAGCTCTGGTTTGCCATGGGCCTTAGAGGAAGTGAAGTGAAGAGATCTGTACTCAAGCTTGCTAGATAAATGCACAAATGTGATCCCATTGGTGATTAGAAAAAATCCTAAGTTTAGATGCCTGCAAGAATAAGATTATGGTAATATTGATTAATTTATACTTGTAAAAAATCAAAGTAGTGACTAACAATTTGTTTTTTGTCCATCTAACATTTATATGGGTGTTGGACAACAGAGTTCTGCTTTCTGGCTTCTCTGATCATTTTTGGGCAGCTTTACTTTTGCACTGTTTCTTTTTGTCCATTAATATAGTGGTTCACAAAGAGCAGCTCTGAGGATGCTCCAGATGGTTACCCTCCAGCCATATTGGTATTTCTGCATAGATTAATGGGCAGCTGCTTCTAGTATGAAGCAATACTTTGCTTGCCATAGAATTTCATGCCTCTTTATACAATACCCTCAGCTGGGAATGCCCTGCCCTTCTTCCCTGACTTCTCTAATGAGCTTCTACTTCAAAGCCTAGATTTAAATGTCATCTCCTCTATAAGGTTTCTCCTGACCCCTAAGGAGTGGCATTAATCTCTCCTTCTACTATGTTCCAAAGCATTTAACACATAATCTCTATTACAGCATTTTTCAGCTTGTATCCAAATCACTAATTTAACTTTCTATCTTTCAAAGTAGAATGGAGCATCATGAATTTGCCATTAAGAAGTACAGAAAGTTAGGGCCAGGGATGGAGCTCAGTGGTGCTGTGCCTGCCTGACAAGCATCCTGAGTTTGATCCGTGGTACCAGAAAAAAAAAAAAAGTACAGAAATTTAGTGCCTCCTCATACTATTGAATGGCCCATTCCTTGCCTACATTTTAGAGAATGGGCCCTTCCATTCTCCTGTACCATCTCCTCCATCAATCCTGAATTCCTAGGACTCAATTCCCAAAGATGAATAATTAATTCTTGTGACAAAGAACCATTTCAACCCTTTCAAGGATCAATTATGTGTCACAGGTGACAAATGTACTATATCATTATTACATGTAGAAATAGTCAAAATATTATTCTTTGAGACACAAAAAATGAGAATATTTATGTCTTGGTGTATACATGCACCTTAGTCTCCCACATACATATTCATACACTCATATACACATGTGTATACATGCTCAATATATGTATTCTTATACACACATATGCATTTGTAAAATATTCATATAGACTTATGTGTTACACATTTAAATTCCCTTTCTAAAGCAAACATCTGTAATTTTCTAAAATTACATAAATCTTTGTAATGATAGCATGATAGGGAAGGAATTAGAGCCTTTGTGCTATCATATCTCTCTGGGCAAGCACAGGGCAGGCAGTGTGCTGGAGGCTGCTCTTTCTGGGACCCGCCCAGCACTTAAAGCTAACCCAGAGATCAACACCATCAGTGAGGCGAGTTACAGGATTTTATGGCAGAGTATCACAGAAATTCAAGAACATATCTAAGCATTAGTCACTCTGGTGGTAGGAAACAAGCTAAAAGAATTTAGAGAATTACAATCACGCATAATAGCGTTATCACTGCAGATTGTAGAATTTGAATTATGTGCACACGTACTTTTAAATGAGTTCCTTAGGCAGGTACTGCTTATAAGCACTCGAGGGAAAGGAAGGTTGAATAAAATCAGCTAAGACTCAGCTATACACAGTTGGACAAATACTGTACAATTGTAAACAATAGAGTGAAGTATAGCTACAGTGGATGAAAATAAATTCTAAGTGGTACTTGGAGCTTTGACAGCATTCCTGAAGATTCATTTTCCCCCTGGGATGTGACAGTTTATGGGTGCCATTACAATACATGTGCAAAAACTGAGTCCCCCGCATGGACCACTGTGTTCACAGGCTGCAAGTCTCAGTATTTATGATGACTTGGGGTATCTGTGAGAAGGGAGGCAGTGCAGAGTGGTGGGAGGAAGGGCTATTATTCTGACCAGATCTCTTTGATTGTCAAAATGATCCACATCCTAGGTTTAGCCCTTTTACCAAGGTCAGAGACCAAGGTACTCCATAGCCCTATAATCTTCTCAGTTCTTCCAGAAGTTGTCAGATAATCAGAATCACCAAGGAATTCTAAAAAACACAGATTTCTAGGCCCTACTATCCAAAAAGTCTCATGCAGTAGATCTGGGATGGAGCCTAGAATTTGTCTTTAAAAAAAAGATCCATGAGTGGTTTTATAATCCAACAGGTTTGGGAACCACTAGCCTAAAAAATGGCCCATTTTGGTTTGTAAAAATGAAAGAGGAGAGAAAAAGAGAGGGGGTGGAATGAGATTTTAGAGTCCTCTGCTGACTCTCAAGCATTTCTCCTATGCTGTGTAGATGGCCCTGTGGTTTCCTCCTGGATGATGGGGAAGTCTGGCAGCCTAGAGAGCTATGAACTGATTCATGCTGAAGAAGAACCAAGAGGGATCATGTGTAAGCTGATTAATGTTATTTTTCTTCTCTGTGTGTCTTGTCTCTAGGCAAAATATAGGACTTTAGATCTGAGTGAATCTAAATCATTCAAGTGTACTTCAAATCAATATTTCTTCCTCTATGAGTAAAGAAGGATATATGTATTATTTTTCTCTTTCGGGGACATGTTCTTTCCCTCAATTTTTTTCTCTTGACAGTGTAGGCTCTAGTGTTTAAGGCTTTATAAATAAATATCAAATTAAAAAATTAGGAAGGACACAAATCAGAAGTCAATCCTTTTTTTTTTTTTTTTTTGGTACTGGGGATTGAGCTCCAGACCTTGCACTTACTAGTAAATCCCCAGCCCTGAAGTCAACTCTTTTTAAGCTTAAGAAAGAAATGTATTAAACCATTATTCTAAATCTTGATGTCAACATTGTATTGTGTGTGTATATGTGTTGTGTCTGTGTGTTACTGGGGACTGAACTCTGGACTGGATTATAAGAGCGTGCCACCATGCCTGGTTAACACTGTATGATTGTTATTGAGCATATTTTAATAAGGTTACAAACATGGAGAGCTGTTTTGTAACAAATAGCTGGTCACTAATTTGTTGTTTTTTAAATTTATATATTAATTGGTACATTTTAGGTATACAATATGTTTATGTTTATCATTGGGTGCTTGTACCTATACATGATGTATCTTGGTTCTTATTTTTT